TATCAGCAATCATGATAGTTCCTGGTCAAATCTCTTCCAGTGATTTGGCACAAAGCTACAGTATTTTTAACATGGGGGATTTAAAGAGTAAACCTGCCAAGTATCGAAGATAAATAAACCTAATTTTGTCCCTGTAGTTGGGACCACATTAGTTTGTATCTGAATCTGTCACCAGAGTTTGTACAAGTCAAACCACATTAATAACATCCATGATGAAAGATTAGAGTGTATATACCTATCGAATAAGTCAAAACTGATATTAAATTGATAAATCCACAATATAAGAAACTCCAAACATCATATCCTTTCAGTTGCAGCACCAATTTGAAACAGCATCGTAGATGGAAATCAAGTTGTGAAGAAAATTATTGTTCAAGGATACCTAGGAATATTGAGTTGCCAGCGTTACCACGGTTGGCTGCAGAGACAGCAACTCTTACTTGAATACTAAACCCCAGGGCATAAGTTTGGGGAAGAGACAGAAAAAAGAAAACTATTAGCAGTTTGAAAGAAAGAGAGATGCAGTCCAAAAATATCACGACTATGGCCTGTCAGTAGGACACAAGAGTATCACGTCTTAAGCATGGGAAGATGGAAAGATGTTCTTTATTAACTAAGACAGCAACAAATCATGTGATAAATTAATAATGAGATAAGCCAACAATTATTTACCACCACCCTAAACAATGTTTGATCTCAAAGGGTAGAACTAGAAGGCAACATCCTCATCGTCAAAACCAAGATTATCATCAACACATTATGAACGTTTTCATTTTTTGTGACCAAAAAATTTAAAAATGAAACACCATTGGAAGTTATTAAAAAATGACAGTAAGCTAATTTCAATGAACAAAGAGGAGAAAAAAATTGCAAGTATGTTTATAGTACAAACAATTGAAAGTTGGATGAGGAGCTTCCACATACAAGTTTCCTTCGTTCATCCATCTGATGCATCATGCCTGTTCTGTTGTACATATCATATTAAACCTCACATTCAGGATAAGTCCAAAGGAAAGAATTAGACACAAGATATTGTATAGTTGGCTACTATTCACAATCAAATAGTAAAAAAAGAAGATGCTCATAGGAAAGAGTTAAATCTCACAGACAGTAATGCTCTTTATAGCTGCACAATCTATCGACAATCTATTGATTTCATTAGTACCTAAATTTATTACACGTGGGCAACAAGGGCACCAACACTTAAAAAAATATCAAAATGTCACGTTTTCTCAGTTGGAGTAAGATGTTCCATCTGTTCTGTAAGGTTATTTATCTTGTTTGCAGTCCACCAAAGTTTTCCAAAGCCTATGGATTTACTCTCATTCTTTCTCCCGTTATCAGAATCCTTGCCTTCGAATGCAACTCTTGGAGGATCAGATGAACCAGGATTCTCGGTCAAGAATTGTTCCCAAAACATATCATTAGCCCCATTGCGCATATTTGCAGTGGTTTCACCAGCTTCTTTTCTTGAGGCAAATGGATCAGAAGCATTACTTCCAACAGGCTCTGAATTCATGTCAATATCATGTGACTTGGACTGAAGATTCCTATCTAGTTGTACAGAAGGAATAAGTGGGCTTTTGATGCCACTTTCGATTTGATTGGACTTCAGAGTAGGTCGAGTGATAGATTGATCAACATCATGAATGGTCCTCTCCCAAAATGTCAGGGATGACTCTAACTGGTCAATCTGCTCCATGTTTAGATCTGAGGCAGAAGAGTAATCCGTATGCTGTTTTGACATTGAATGGGAATGCTCTATCTGATCATCCTCAGCACTGGATTCATTGTAGTAGTAGGTGACTGATGCCAACCTCCTCTTTCTATCATGAGATTCTGATTCTGGCACAAAATAAATAGTCAATTCTGGTTTCTTCAAAACATGCGCTACATTAGAAAGCAATGTTTGCTGCTGCTGCTGCACACATTGAAACCGCTCCTTCATTGATTGCATTTGCAGCTGTAATTCACGATGCTCTAGTTCATGTTTCTCTGACTCCAAAAGAAGCTTTTCATTGGTGTGCTTAAGCCTCTCAACCTCTTCCTTAAATCTCTTCCTTTCAAGATCCAGTAATGAAGATGACAATCCTTGTCCTTGCACATTCTGCAGCGAATGGCTGTGAACCGGTTTTCGCCTGTGGATGTTCCGCAAAAGGTCCGGCCGACCTTTTTCAAAATCCTCGTTTGCAAATTCCCATCTCTCCGGATCCACTTTCCTAAAACCCTATTGAAATCAATAACTAATTCAATCAAAGAAATCTGAAAATGAGTGCTTATGAGTAAAATGAATTGGGACAGCCAGACTTAAGTACTGACTTACATATGTATTAAGCTGTCTAATGAAGCTAGAGAAGTTGTTGTGCTTGAAGAATCTCGGCAGCAGGTCGCTCGAAAACTCCAGTGGATTCCATACAATAAAGCTCTTATTACTAGAAGTCCAGGAGACAACCGGGTCTGTGGAAGGATCATTGACCATCTCGTAAGTCTTTGTCAGGAAAGGAGGCAACGTATTCGCACTGCCCTGAGCTTCGTCCATCCTGAATCTCAAGACCCCCAATCACAAACCATAAAGCGCTAAATTCAAACCCTCAGAACAAACCCAGTTTCCGGAAGTTTGGAAATTGGAATTCCAAGAAAAGGAATTGAACAAAAATTCAGAACCGAAAGCTCAATCCTCCGCTTCAAGTTTCACAGGGTTTATTGAAAGAGACCTAAAGAAACTGTTACATCCCCCACAAAGAAAAATCTTCACAACATCGATGTTTCCCGCAAGTATTGAAGTGTAGGCTAAGAAACCCTAATAAAAAACCTTAAGTCTCCCGCAATGTTCCCAAATTTCGACCAAACAGAAACTTGTATGAAAGTGAATTCCCCAGCAGTCAAGTGTAGCTGAAAATTCTCTCAAATAATTGGGAAATAGAAATCAAAGGACCCTCCATCGTGTAAATAATCTCTCGGTCTCCGCAGTCGCTACCAAAACAAGTCGTCAGCTGAAGAAAAAGAGGATTACCAAACGTCGCGCTTCCACTTCCGTTCGCCATAATCGGTCAGCTCCCGAATTAAGAGACAAATTAGCAGTCCACCATCTTTGATCGACAGAGCAAATCATTTCGAACTGCCTCAAAAATTTCTGTGAAAGTATGTTGTCGTTGTCCGAAAAGGCCAATTCCTTTTTTTTTTTTTTCTTTTTCTCTTTCTCCTTTCCTTTTTCGCAGATAACGTCGTTCGTTACAAATTACAATAATCAGATTTTTCAAGGGAATAATAATTATTAATTTTGTTTTAATGTAATATTTAAAAATTGCTTTTTAGTTTTAATTTGAAAATGTAAAGAAAGAAAAGGAAAGGCGTAGAAAACGAAGCGGCACCCGAAGTTGCGGAGATGTTGAAACTTTAACGGCCGTTTGATGATTGCGTCGTAACTGACATTTTGACGATCTCACAAAATTATTAAATAAATTTAATCTTTTTTAGCTATAATTTGTAATCTATGTGGTGCGTGTATATGTAACTTTTTTTTTTTTTTTAGTTTAATAAAAGGTGGAGGAATTTAAACCTCAAAAAAGAGTAAGTGATCGAGTTAATCTCGAGTCAGTTTTTTCTATAAATTTATTAATAGCCATTCCCCAACTTGAGAATGGAGGGGAGGCAGTAATGGAGAGTGCATGGGAAAATATCTATTATCAAGATTTAATGATTGTTTTTTTCTTTCTTTTTATTTTTGAGTAGAACATGTAGGGTGGAGAATTGAACACACAACTTCTTGGTTAAAGATATATGTCAATTAACACTAAGCTAGGCTCACCTTGACATTCTTTTTTTTTTTTTTTTGAAGATTAGATGGTTGTAAGATCAAATGTCATACATATTATATTTTTATTGTTCCATTCATATTATAATAACAATTTCGAGGCACTAACATGAGCATAGTTTTATTGGTCAAAAAATATAACTTTCCTCCTCAAAAGTTTGAGGTTTGAATTTCTCATTAGAAAAGAGGAAAAATGAACGATTTTTTCAAATATATAGTAATGATTGTAAAAAATAATTATGATTATACTATAGAAATTAAAAAAATGATGTGACGATAGTAAAAGAGAAAAAAAAAGATTAGAAATGGACAATGAGACTAACGAATCTCTCATCTCACATGTGTTGTACATGCCACTGTACTCACTTTGAGAGTTGATGATGCTGTTGATTTTAGGTTGTCAATTAGATTTGATTTATTTAATAGCAATTCTTAACTATCATTTTTGTTTCCATAACGGGTCAAGTGGGTGCATATATATTGATAAAATGTATATATTTTTTTATTAAAAAGTGAGAAGTTTAAATTTACACTCTATATATTTTTTAGTTAAAAAAAAAATTCATGAAATGACAAGCAATATTAATAATAGATTTGACCACATCATTGATCCCATCCCATGCTTGTGTTCCTCCATTGTCAATATATATTATCTCATCTTCATTTTTTTCATTTTTTCATTTGACAAAAAATTAGTCTAGTTTATCATTGAATAAAAAGTTAATTCCATATATTAACTTTTGGAGGGACAACTTCCAGAGTTAAATATATATATATATATATATAATAAAATAAAATAAAAATAAAAGGTTAAAATTTTGAATTTTGTGTTATGATTTCTGCATGTTATTTTTCTAGATAAAAAAGATCTTCAAATTATAGCATTTACCTCAAGTCAATTTTAACTAAGTGATTAAGATAAATGTTTTCGACCCGGGAAAATCCGTTCTATGTGAAAAAGGTTCTTTGCATAAGGTCTAGTTCTTTGGGCATTGTATTGGTGACAACATGAGTTGGTTGGATCAAGAGAAGGTGCGTGCAAGCCGTGGTGGATTGGGAGACGCCACACAAGGTGTACGAACTACGATTCTCTCAGATTAGTACTACTCCAAATTTTTTTTTTAGTATATATCAAACTATAGACGGTTCATCGAAGGCTTCTCGGGAGATCAATTGGAAGAGCTTAAGCTTTCTATTATATTAGTAAAAGGCGAATGAGGGGCGTGTGCAATAGTTTTCTTTATTTCTTTCTCCTGCTCGATCGCTTTAATGCCCCTAATTTGAGAGATAACTGGAATGCCTTCTCCCAAATGAGTGGAGGTGACACAAAACAATGACTCTCTTTGTTGGGATGTCAGCAGGTTAGGTAGCTGTAAGGTTTTTTATATTCGGTGGACATAGGCTTGGATTCTCACTCCTCAATATCTTTGTAGTAAAAAGACATTGCTGTCAAATATAAACTCATGTGTTAGAAAACTAAAATAATTTTTTGAATCAATTTTCAAACTTCTAAGTCTCAAATAACTTTTAAGAAATATAATACTTATTTAAAATCGATAAAAACTAAAATATTTTCTTGACTAATTATAATGTTTTATTTAAAACATGTTTCCGAAATAACGGTCCAAACGCATTATTTTTTTAATAAATTTGAAAAGAACACATTATTTTTTTTTTAATAATAAGCTTGAAAGGAGCATTATTTTGGAAAATAAATTTTATTTAAAAACATTATTAAAAAAAAAAAGTCCTCTAAACAAGACAAGTGGTAAATCAATTTTTATATATAACGATTGGAGCTTACTTCCATCAGTCTGTATCTACTAATTACTAATTTCACTATTAATAATCAATAATCATGAACAATTACAAAACCGATATAAAAAAAAAAAGGCCCAATCTGATCTGCAAATTGGAGATGCAAAATCTAACGCTCTATGAATTGAATTTTGATCTGTTGAGGAAGCAGAGAAGAAGTTGCTTTTTTTTTTTTCTCATCTTTAATTGAACAGTGATTGTTCAACTACACATAATCATTTCAATCAACAAAGCAAGAAACTCCTCTGATTCAGATTTCACACTCAGAATTCAAATTTCTTGTCTACTCAGATAGTGTTTCACCGCATCCCTCATATCATCGTAGCAATCACATACCTCAAAAAACTTCACCAATTTCCCAAGCTCCTCGTCCGCCGGATCATCGATGAACGACGGGATCGGAATCGCATTTTCCGGCTGAAAGAAGTATGCATTTGGATTGTCGTCCACGATCACTACCCTTCCCAAATCCCTCCCAACTTCAGACAAGTCCTTCACGAATTTCCCGTCGATTTCCTTGCAAGAATCCCGATACAGTCTATGAGAAATCACGGATTTCTTGTCCAATTGGTTGAGCACCAGGGACGCGTATTCCTTCAATCCGGCGGTGAACACCACGATTTCGAATTTGGCGGCTAGAGCATCCAAAAATTCGTCCACACCGGGGCGTTTGAGCACATAGAAGCA